ATCGATAAATATCCATAACAAAACCGATAAAAATATCGATTATTTTATCGATATGTCTAGAGAATCCCGAAAATCTCTAAAATCCCAAATTAGTTCCCAGACTGAGTCTCTGTGTCTCTCTCTATATCCTTTCCTCTTTAATTACCTCTATTTTAATCTTTCTTCCCCTATATTCATCTTTGCTTTTATCGGTATCCTCATCCTCCTCTTTGTCTTTACTTTTATGTTCATAATTTTTTTCAGGTACATATTCCCCTGCACATTTGCCCTTATATATATAATTAAGGTGTTTAAATTTACCTTGGTCTTCATTTTTGCCTTTATGTTTACGCATCTTTGTTTTTGTTTTTATTTTTACTTTTGCCTTTATCCTTTTCTTCATTTATGTACGTAGTCCCCTTTACTTTCATTCTTGTATTGGTCTTTTTCTAAGTGTTATTCTGTAACCTTTTATTAGCAAATTTTTGTTAAAGTAATACCATATGCATACACACAAGAAGCCCTTGTTTCAGCCCCAACCATTTCCGTTGCAACATTTCCGTTGCATCATTTCCGTTGCATCATTTCCGTTGCATACATACAAGAAGTACTTGTTTCAGCCCCAACCATTTCCGTTGCACCATTTCCGTTGCATCATTTCCGTTACATCATTTCCGTCCTAACAATTTCCGTGTGCAATTTCCGCTGAATTTGCCAATTTACTCCCAACCAACCAACCGCCGCTAAAGAAGTTGCACTTCAAAAATTTAAGTCACGCTTTTGTTCCAAAGCAGGAGATTTTCCGGTAAGTAATTTTGTACATTATAAGTTAAATGACGTGCTAAGTCAGAAAATCTGTCCAAGGGTTTTAAAAAAACTAGAAGAAGGATCGAATTTCGACAGTAACTGGCACTCTCAGTTAATATAATTAAACAATTTTAAATACTTTTCCTTAGATTATCGCTTCATGGCCATTTGCAGTATTCTTGACCAAAATGGATTACGTATACGACATGCTGTCTGCTTTAGGCAGATACATAAATACATAGCTATTTATCACATAAGTATGTAGTACCAAGTTTAAATCAGATGTTTTGCCTACGTATTTGTAAAAAATTTTACGCAATAAATAAAAATGATCAGCTATCCCTTAACGTTTCGAACAAGGATTTACTTCTTTTATGCTATTAACTAGACAAGCGTTTCATAACTGCAATATAAACAATCTGAATACCAAGCGAAACCAACACTACATATCATGCGCTTACCGTGAAAAAAGTATGCGATATTTTTTCCAAATTTTCTTTTTGGTGCGGAAATGATTCTGCTCTGAGAAAATTATACAGATAAAAGGCAAGTTTTTAAATGAAATTGGAAAACTTTTTTTTTTTTTAATATAATACTTTACTTCATGCACAATAAAAAATGCAGCACATATTTGTTTTTATGACTTTAAAACGAAATATTCGCAAAAAAAAAGTGGACGTTATGATATAATTATTTAGTTTGGAACGAGAAAAACAAACGAAATGAGCAAACCTAACGCCGCAAAATATGTATTTTCAAAACTAAAACGAAACATTTTAGAATATTGTCCCTACGAATTGTAGTGGACTAAATTTTCAACAAACAATGTAAAAGGACATACTTTCAAAATAAAAACATAAATTTACTTTGAGTCAATTAGGTATGAAAAAATTTTAAACTAAAGCGTTTTGCGTTAGAATTTAAAAATCTACTTATTTTGGAAAACAGTTCATATGTTTGCATCACTTGTCGAAAAAACTTTGCATTACTTCAAGGATCAATAGCATTTGCTTCTTCAGAAAAGACATTTACTTCGCTAAAATTGCGAAGAAATGGCAAAAAATTTGCAATTTACTCGAAATTTTGGGGTTGTATGCGTCCAGCGGAACTCAGATGTGGATTCAGTGGGTCGAAATACATGACAGCCCCACACATTTTTTCGGAAAACTTTAGAAGGAATTGGCGTAGAACCTCAATTTTCCGTGTTTAACATTAAGGATATAAATCAAGAAAAAAACTAAAAATTTGCGTGATCGATTTAATTTGAAGCACACCTCCCATGCAAACCTAACCTCAACAACGTCTTAAAAAGTGCACCGTTGAATATATGAGTCTTAAATTTTGTCCATATGTTCATAACAACGTGGCACATGAACTCAAAAAAAAAACTTAACGTCATCGAGTTATTTTAAACAGGGACCGTAAAAGTTACAACTGTTATTAAAAAAATCGAATTTTAACTATTGTTTTTTTACTTCTATTTAATCACTCTTTAAATAGCGGTTATTTCTGGCTTTTGTTTTATAAATCGAATATAACAATTAATTTTGATTTTTATCTAAATAATCTGCAAATAACAGTTATTTTTGATTTTTAAATTATATGTCTTAGATAACAGTTATCGAAGACTTTTATTTATAAAAGTCATAAATAAAAATCAGTCACTGACCTTTATTTTTTAAATCATACTAATAAAAGTCTTTTAAACTTTTGTTTCCCAACACCTTCTTAATCGCGAAAAATGTTAATTACTTTTATACGAATGATTTAAAAAATAAAAGTCGGTGACTGATTTATATTGATGACTTTTAAAAATAAAAGTCACTGACTGATTTTTATTGATGACTTTTATAAATAAGAATCTTCAATAACTGTTATCTAAGATATAAAATATAAAAATCAAAAATTATTGTTATTTTGGAAATATAATATAAAAATCAAAAATAATTGTTATTTTTTTTAATTTTGCATAAAAATTGCAATTAAAAATTTATTTGCAAATTTGAGTTTCGGTGAAAAAAGAAATCGAATTCTATGTATCACTTAGTTGTAGAACATTTTCTTCATAGTGAGTTTTTCCATGACAGCTTTCATCAATAAGTATTATATTCGTTCCCTGATTTCAAAGCATACGTCCCATACAAACCTAACCTCAAAAATGCCTTAAAATGCCCTGAAAAGCATGGATATAGGACTCCGAAATTTTGTCCATATATTATTATTAACGTTATGTGTGAACCATTAAAAATTGGGTGTAAGCGGTTTATTTCAAAGCATATGGGTGGTATGCTACAAACCTAACCTCAAAAACGCCTTAAAGAGGCTATAAAAATCGGACCGATGAACATATCACTTCGAAATCTTGTCTATATATTAGTAAAAATATTATAACTTTACATCTAAAAAAATGGGAGTAAACGATTTATTTTAACATGGAGGTATTCCCATGCAAGCTTAAAACAAAGTTTATAAAAAAAAAGGTTATAAAAAAAATTGTCTAACTTTTGTTGCTTATATTTTGTATAGAACTGCCAATTTCGTACAAAGTTATAAATAATTTTTCTTATTCAAATATCACTTTGTTAGACTAAGCCATTAAAATATAAAAAATTGAATGTAAAAAAAATTGTATCTTTACCACCGAAATACCACTGTGTGCCGGTGTAATTATTAAACTTGACTTTATAAGTAAAAATTTTAAAATTAAAATCAGAGCCGCTGTAGGTATTCCGATTAACCAGGAGTAAAAATCGTTATTTGCGGTCCCTGAATTATATTCCAAAATTTTTATTGAGCTTGTGGCCATTTCTAATGAATAAATGTTGTGAAAAAACAACAATGATGTATAC